AAGCGTCGTCGAATAAATATGTGCGCCGAATAAACATCGAAAGCGCGCGCGCGCGTGTGCGTCGGATAAACGTCGAAACGAGTCGCGCTATTCGAATAAAATAACAAGTCGCCGCCAAGTGCGGCAGGACGAGAGGCCTCCCCGAGAGAGCAAGGCGCGCTTCCTGGAGAGGCTCTCCCCCTGATCGATTCTACCGCAATCCCGGTTCAGACACTCGTGGAAACCCGGACGTCGGGCACGACACCGCGACGCCCGTTCACGAGCTCCACCCACGGCGCGACGTCACCGACACCGTCATACATGCGCAAGCCAGACGGCTCGCAAGATGACATGTTCGCCAAACATCGTAAAACGGCCGCCCCGTAATCAATTAGCCCCAGCTGCAATTAGCAGGCGTATACGCCCGCTCGCGAGAGCGCCGTCTGAATTCGCGCGTCGGCCCGAGGCTCCTTCCCGCAGGAGACGACCGGGATCGTAAACGCGTTTGATAACGCGCATGCACGCGGTGGCACGCGCGTACAATCGAGGAGCACCGTGGGCCGTATTGCCCCAGCAAACATGATGACGTTACTCATCATTTTGACGTCGAAATGACGATAAACGTAGGGTGTGTTCCCATTTCCTCTCAGCACCACCAGAGAGAAACCCGAGAGCCGCCACGCCGGCGTTTTACTCGATACCGTTTCAGAAGACTGTTTTTCGCGCGCCCTTACGCCCATTTTTACTTTTGCAACTGTTTCATCGCGCATTTTCCGCCTCCGCCGAGGCATAAATTTCCACTCGCTGCGTGTCTGTGCTATGCATTCCGACATCTCGTTTATAAAGTTTACATTGTCTGCCTGAAAAAAGTTAATGTAAACGTCATGTGGATAATGTATGTTAATATAATTTTGATATTTACAATACAATCCTTAAACATAGGCGTAGCACGGACACGCGCGAAGTGGAGACTTTATCAGCAATCCAGTCAGAAGTGACTCGTCGAATCGACGTCAATATGACGATTCTGATGTCGATACATCGTTTCGACGTCGATCGACGAGTCACTTCTTACTGGGAATGTCAGAAAGTGCATAGCAAAAGCAGGGTGGGAAAGTAACTCGTTACTTGTAACGAAGTTGCAGTTTATACAGTTACTTTTTTCGGTAACTCTAACTTACGTACCTTTTCTTCGTCTATAATTGTAACTTAACTCAGTTACACTTTTTCAATAACTAGTAACTAATTTAATAGTTACATTAATAGTTACTTTATGTATTTTTTAAACCCCCCACCTTGCATTTGCGCATAAACGCGTTTATCGACGCTTCGCAATTCAAATGCAGATTTCATATTTTTATTTTCGCTGCAAGAAGGTAACTGCAAGGTAACGATTCGTTCCTTTTTGAGTAACTGTAACTGCATAGCGCGTTACTTTTCAGAATTGGTAACTTGCAACTGTAGCTGGTTACATTTTTAGCGAAAAAAACTGTAACTGGATACTTTTATAAACTAACTTTCTCAACCCTGCAAAATAGTTCCAAAAGTAAAGTGGCCGCTCGCAGGTCTTTCTCTCTCTTAGTTTAATTCAATAATAGCATCCAGTACTGGCAGTAGTACTGAGAGGAAATGGAAACACACCCATAATGTCATCATGTTTCCCGGGATATCTTCAGCGCACAATTCACGAAAACGCGCGCGCGTACGTGCGTTACACTCTTCCACGTTTTATAGTTGAATGCTTTTAAAGTGCAACGTGAGCGCACAGGAAATGCTTTTGAAATGCTGAAAGTGTTTCGAGATTTTGAAAAAGCAACAAGCTGCTGCTATTCCTTTCTTGTTGGGCATTTTCCACCGTTTGTATTTATTTCTTGCGGAGTGTCGTCCTTAGAACCCTTTCCTTTAGATTGTTCCATTGTTATACGTCTGCTTTTCACCCTGAAAAAAAAGATGAGGGACCATGCGTGACTGCTATACAGACTCCGCGCAAAGTTGACCTACTTAATGCGCCTGTGCGAAGACGTAACAATGGCCGATGCCATTTTATGAGACCGTGCCTTCTACATTGACTGACGTTGTTTACCTGCAGTATGGCCTTGTCACCACGCGATGGACACAAACAAGAAAAGCTACTACTTCGAAAGTCCTTTATGGTAAAATTCGTTGCAACCACGAGTATTTATTCGGTCCCTCAATAGCGCAGCACGAAAAGAAAGGCGATTTTACATTTCCTGTCGTCACCTAAACCTAAGCCTATTCAGCCTGCAATATATAGTCAGGCCATGCTTGAATTCTGTGAATGTAATAAATATTTTCTTAAGAAAATTTCCTATAACACGCACATATGGGTCTCGCAGGCCGTTCACAATTTCAAATATCTATAACTTTTTCAAAACTGAACAGATTTTAATTTAATAAAGCTATTTCTGTTAACCCTTCGTTTACAAATATCTACATATATGGAAAAATGTTTTAGACAATTAAAAATTATTATAAGTATAAAATGAAACAATTTTTTTAAACAATGGGTCTGTCAGACCCATGTGCGTGTTCTAGAGAGCTAATAAATACTGTTCTCATTAAAATATTACAATAGTTTTAATATTTTGACATTCTTTTTAATTTAACAAAGTTAATATACTATTTTAATATTTTATTCCCACAATATAGAAATCTCGATAAATATTTCTTATTCTTAAATGCGTGCATCATGTATTAATTTTCGAATATTACGTTGCGTTATTTCTGCTGCATTAAATACTTCAAATTGCATTCGCTATTTTGGATAATTCACAAAAATAAAAGTTTATGAAAAACGCTGACAGAATGGATATAAACTTTTCGCGTGATACTTAACACTGATTAAAAATAATAATAATCTCGAAATTTCTGTTAAAAATTATTATGCAATATATTTAGAATTAATTTACATTATGAAACATTTCGAAGCGAGTTTGGCATTTCAAATAATTAATTGCTATACCATGCAATATCCTGCAAGATATTTTATATCCATGTAATTTCTTTCAAGAAATTGTATGCTGACAAAACAGATCGTGTTACACTTGTAAAATATCGGTAACGTAGTACTCCGATTATTCTTCAAGTACATACTTAGTCGTTGCTTTTTTTAAAATTAAAAACTTAAATTTAAATAAATGCGTTTCAACATTATCGGGTCCACATGTTAAAATCTTAAACGTCAACAAACGAATTAATGAATTACGTTCAGTTGATAAAATCAATTGCGCACACAGGAAAACTTCGATTTCAAAATTATCGCTACGATATAAAACACTCGGCGACATCTAGCAGGAAATATTTAGAATATATCGGTATATCTACTTTCATAAAATGTGTATCATAATTTTTCCCAAATTATAGAATTAAAAACTGTAAGAAAAATGACGCTAATTTCAGATGTTCTACTTTTAGATATATGTATAACGATAAACCAATAACATTCGAATAGCTTAATAGTCAATTACTCAAACATAAAGATTTATAACATCAGTGATTTTTATTGACCGTATCTGGCAATTTTTGTAATACAGAAAATTTATTGCGAAAAATATTACCTCAGCCAGGGTTTGAGTTAAAGATTTATCATAGTAAACAGTTAAATAATTCTCATCGTTAGCTCCGGAAGCAAATAAGGCGTAAATATAAGTGTTTATTCGTAAAATTGCTAATTAAATTTATCAGTCGCATAAATTCCAATATTATAAGTAAACGTTTCGATCATGCAAGAAAAATATTACGAATAGGAACTTGAGAAATAATTATTGATTTAAATAGTAAATCTGATCTCCTTTCTCAGAGACAGCGCCCTTAGAGTTTACGAGATGTTTCTGCGAGGGTAACTGAAAATGAAACAACGGAGTATATTGCGAGTTTATTAATTATTATTATTATACTTAATATTTATAACACATATATATAAATATATATATAAATATATATATTATATATATGTGTATGTGTATGTGTGTACATATATGTATATGTACACGCATGTCCGTCACGTATATACTCTTACATACACGCACAGCAAAAATGCAGCACATCGCGCGCGCACGCACGCACGCACGCACGCACAAACACACACTCTAGCAAAACTCGTCGGACATACGTGTGCATATACAAGACACCCTGTACGTTACGATACAACCGCAATATGTTTAAATAAGATACATGCAAAAAACGTATTTTTTTTTAGCTCAAACGAGATAAGCCGTACTATTTGATAAGGATCGATTCGTTATACATAGGCATCTTTGTCCTCCTCCCCCTTCCCCTCTTTTGCTTTTTTTCCCTTGAAATGTTCCTCTTACTCTAGATCATCTTTCTTTGTACCGTCCCCCGGCACGACGCCGGTTGTACCGTTTTTCACAGAATATCCTGCAGCACGAATATGCATATATGTATACGCGTCATGCGACTGTATGTTTTACGTGTACGTGTGTATATGTGTGTACGAAGCCGAATCAAGCTCTCTTTCGAGGTCCCTCGGCCCTTCATAATTTATATGAAAAGCGTTATAACACATGTATACTGCCATTGTACGGAACATCTATTTTGTATCTGCAATACGAATTCTATGAGAGATGTCGATCTAACATTGGCGGGTAACATTCCTTCCGCGAGGAGACAGTCGGATGAAAATTCGGTACGGAGGGGACGCGGGAGCGCGAATGATGATATATATACCTCCGCTCGAGCGGAATTTCAATCCAGTTCGCAATAATCGTTACGAAGACCAGGTCCGTCGCGTTTCTCTTTCAGTACTTATGTTTCTGGTAGTGCACTGTTACACACCACCGTATTCTATGCGATATTCCTAAAGCTTACGATATCTCAATTTCGTTTAATTTAATTTTCCAATTAGCGCTGATATCAACGGGTTAGTCGCAACGTCTAAAAGCAGGGCGTTTCGCTGGCGTCGTGAGAATTTTGTCCGTTTCGAAGACCGAGCGGGTCGGTACGCATTTTCTGCGCGAGAATAGGCTTAGAACGATCTCTTTTTTTTTCGAGTTATAAAAATTGCAAATCCATAAACCTCACATTTTCTCTTACGTCTAAGACTTCGCAGATTCCGTTATTTAAGGTCTCATTGAATGTCCAAAGATTTCGGGAAAAGATAAAACATTTAAAATAGAAGCCGATATCTCATGTCACACAATATCGCGCAAGTATCTATACATGTATGTATATTACTTTCTTTAAAAAAAATTAAAAACAATGCACGAATATACTCGAATCCGACAATTTGGTTGTTACAAAACATAAGCGTAAGCGAACATGTAGATAGAGTAACATGCTATTCTCTGTACAGAACAATGATGTTACGGATTTTTCAGAAGAATCAAATTCAATAGAATTTACAATGCGCAAATAAAAAGGTACATCGTTAAAATTTATACTGAAAGTAATAGAATTTATATTATTTACGAGCGCAGCTCCAAAACAATCGATATAAATAAATTTCATCGTCACATCTATTAGGAGATTACTATAAATATACAAGTTAAATTTGGTATGTACATATGCATATACATACACATACATATATATACGTATATACACACACCAAATGAATATATATATATACATATGTATAGGCACACACACATATATGTATATATATAAATATCTCGCAAAAAGAATTGACTTATACATATTTGGCTTGTCAGCATCTGGAAATATAATACAAAACAAACTAAATTTTGAAAGAGATAACACACAAATCCACTAACAAAATTAAAATTTAAAAGGTTTATACATTTTTACAAGCAATTCTCATTCAACTAGGTGATATATCTAATATCAAGAAATTCCTTCTACTGTGACCAATTATACAAATATATTATTTAACTATTCGGTCGTCCGAGCTCGTATCGGGTTCTTTTTTTGTAAAAATGACAATTTTTTAATACTAAGTGAAAACTTCAACAACGTATTTACGTATTTGCATTTTGTGAGTTATTTTCGATCTATACCTTGATTTAATTATCATCTGCAGCCGAATGTCTTCCAGAGTGCTCTGCATCTCGCGACGTTAAAATTAGCCACTTTAAACCCAGCGAACCATTTCCAAACGGTTGATAAAGCATCTCCATACACTTTACAAATTTTTCTCGTTGTCTGCTCTGCGTTTTTCCCCTCTTCTGCATTAAAAAACATGGCGTGCTGAAAGTGGACCTTTTTACCTTTCATCATTACAACTCAATAACAGCTAACACAAACTCAACTGAGCTCAACCAAACATTTACTTTATACCTTTACTGTATGACACGTTGAATTGTCAAACAATATATAAATGTTGTATATTTTTTAACTTTAAAATAGCTTACGCAACGCTCATAGAGACATCTCGAAACTCACACGAACTTCTCGGACGACCTAGCAAATAAAAGATAACATTTTCGTACTCTGCTCCTTTCGGTTAAAACTCACAGACCGTTTAATATTAGAAATAGCATATATGTGGACAGATTTGAGGACTCTCTTCGGAATCAGCGACAAAAAGTATATCTCGCCTATGTTAAAAAATTTCACATCATTCCGATAAAATACGATATTAATGCAGTACAACCAGAACTATAGGTACCAACGATGCTTATTTTTCAAACGATTTAAAATAGGCTGCCAATCCGTACACTAGAAAGATCGGCGAGCGGTATAATGCCATTAGGCTGGAGAGAAAAAGAAATGAATTATATATACAGTTCCTACCCGGCGCCCTGTTCGTTAGACCAGCCGAGCCAATGTCAGAACGATCGATTATACCCTGCCTACTCGTTGCTATCGTGGGGAACACAAGAGGCGTCAGCCAAGCCACCCCGTCACGCACGGCCTTGTGTGTGGCGCGGGGACGGCAAAATATGCGCATTCAGGACAGCACATATTTTAGGTCTGCTTGAGTTTCGCAAAGTCGATCTCGGCGTAGGTGAAATTCTCCTGTGTGGACGCCGGCGACACTGGCGCTGGATTATCGATCTCCGGCAGATCGAGACTAGCGTAATGCAGTATTGTCGCGCCCGGCTGGAGCTTTTCGTAACCCTCGCTGTCCAACGGACTTGGCGTAGGTGTGGGGGTAGATGTGGGCGTAAGCGTGGGAGTCTCGTCGATGAACTTTGGCGAGGATGGCTTCGGCTGTTGCACGGTCGACGGCTTGAAACCCGTCAGGGTGGGACTGGTGTTTGGCGAGGCCGTGACGAGACGTGGTTTCGACACCGTTAGATCCGAGAGTTTTTTCGTTATTATGTTAATGGGCTTACCCCTAATGGGACTAGGTGGCTTCTCGTTATTCGCCTTCGACGAGAACATTGTCTCCGTCAATGGGGTAGAACACGACGTACAAACCCTCTTCGCGGGTTCCATCACCGCGTATTCATTGTTCTTATTTTGGTTGGAAATGTCTGTCGTGGAGAACTCATCGTTTTTCTTCGTGAAAGGCTTCACGGGCGACTGAGGGCTGTTCAGGGAAAAGGGAAAGATCGTGGCCGACGAACCAGTTGGCGTTGCTCGCGGCGGTGAGGCGGGCGTGCTCGCCAGACTCTCAGATGTCGGGCTTCCGTTCAAAGGTAGGAAGTTTGGAGTTTTAGACGGCTTACTGTTCGCCTGAATCGCGATTGGTTGCGATCGCGATTTCTCCTTGCGACTGCCCGTCCGTGTTTTACGATTGTTTCGGTTGTTTCCGCCCATACTCATATTTATGTAGTCTTGCTCTAAATTCGGGTTAAACCGCGTTTTAAAAGACATCTCGACATACCCTTCCGGAGGACGCCTCGGTTGTGGAAGATCTACCGGCGCCGTTCTTGTGCTACCTAATCATTCACAGCAACACATTTCCAGTTATTATTTTTATTACATTATAATATTATATAAAGGATTTTTTTGGCAATAGATGTTTGCGGACTGGTACCTGGCGGCCCATTTGTTTGATAGGTATCCTCTTGAATAGGTGACGACACTTGTTGCGGGCTCGACTCCGAATGCGTCCAATCCTCTATCGTACCGTCCATCTTCATGTAAGGTCCCTCCGCTTCTTCTACCGGCTTTAAAGTTGTAATTACAGGTTTATGGGCGAAAGTTAGCGATGATATATGCATGTGGCTATGATTGTGGTTGGCAGTGATTGTATTATTATTGTTATTGCGGTTGATCTGTAAGAAAAGAATTTCATTAACAACAGTTAACGCGGCAGTTTTTCATTAGCAAAATGAACATTGATATACCGATGATACCTTATTTATGCCACTCATATCGACGTATGGGGCAGTGGTCGATATGGGAGCTTGTCCGGGCGACATGTCGACGTAGGAACTAGTGTCGGTGGCAGTAGAATAAGTAGAGTACGGTTGCGGTTGCGACTGAGGCTGGGAGCAGGATGACGGAGGCGAGGAGAGAGCGGTCGGAATACTGGGCCTCGTGAAATCCAATTCCATGAGATCCTCCATGCGATCGGACGCTCCGGAGCAACCCGAGTTGTGTCCCCAAGAGCTCGACAACAACGGCGCGGAGCTCGACTTCGAATTCGAGGTGTCCGAGCCAGAAGGTAACGGCGCGGTAATTACATTGGCTAACCTTCCGATCTCGGGCCTCTTAGACCGACTACCTACGGAAAATGCTCGTACTCTATTGGCGTCTTGCGGAGTGATATCCAACCTGCGCAAAGAATAGATGGTAAAGTTAAAGATCTCATTCGTATCATTGTCAATGGTGTTTTTCTCTCAAATCACACAACCGTCATAGGAGATCTTATAAAATCTTTTGCTCAAATAATATACGTAGTACATCACGTTTATTTTCAATCAATATATACATACTTGGCTAGATCTTAAGTGTAAATACCTATTTTTACGATGCCTGTTGGCTTGTTCCGGCCTGGATCCAACGGAGTAAGCCCTGGTCGGTCTCGCTTGCATATCTTCCCCGGGTGTTAAAAAGCTGGTTACCTTGTCCAAGTGGTACTCGGAAAACCGCAGGTCCGTACTAGGCGTGCCGGATGTGACAGAACAGCTACTGCCGTCGTTCTGCGATATATCGTCCGGAAAGTGACCGTTGTGACTATTTACAGGATCCATATCGACGTAACCGTCATCTCCGACCGGTGCCATCGGTACATAGCCGTCCACGTTGCTTTCTTCTACGAGGGATGATCCGCGGGAATGCGAGTGCGCCGTCGTTGCCGGGCTCATGGGTATGTATGCACCGCCGCGGCCCGGACTCGAACCGCAGGGGCTGTACATTTCACTCTGGTAGGAACTCTGCAACCGATAAATTGTTAAATACTTATCCAATAATTAAAGTACAGCCTTGATATTAATTTACTTGAGCTAAACTTTTTCTTTTCACTTAGATAAAGTGTAGACAATACAAGAGCCAGTGAAAAGAAAAGAAAAATTTTATTCTTATAAAAAAAAACTGCTACAAAAAGAATTTGTTAGATTTCACTATTAGATGTCTACTTTTCTACTGTTTTAAAAAAACTCTAATTGAAAAATTCAGAAGCGATAGTACGATTGCACTCACCTGAGAGGGCGAATGAGATTTAAAGTTTGGCGAGTATTTCAGATGCGGATGCGACGTCGACCACAGGGCGTAGTCGTCGCCTTTCTTATCTAAGATTACGGGCTCGTCGGGTGTCAAGGAATGCCCGTACCTCGAGATAGTGCCTTCTTCCATAATATTCTCACCGCAATCGTCCATCGAGGGTGACGAGCCGGCCGAATCCGACGAGCAGACATCGGAAGACGGACTAATAGGCATCGACGCGACTGGTGGAGAATACGACAGGCCTCGTCCACACATGGAATGCGGTCGCGGTACGTGCGATATGATATGGGCACCTCTAGGATGGCTCAACACGACAGTGGCCGGTTGTCCCTCGCTGGTGGTACGAGCCCTCGACGGCAAACTGTCACATCGATCGCGCCCGGTGGCACCTGCAAAGATACTTGTCAGAAATCTCCTCGTAGTGCTTACTCGCTTACAGTAGAAAGAAGCCAGTCCCATCGTCCCAGCATAGCAACAGAGCGGTTAGTTTTATGTTCGCATAATATCTATAAATCATTATATATGTACATAACATATTGTTTATTGTTATATATATACATACATATATATATCCTTAAGTTAAGCAATCAACAATAATCACGGTCATTTCGTCCAATATTCTGCGCATTTGCAGAATTCGTGTTATGTAAAAATTAAATCAAGCAAAATAAAGAGTACGGTAACAGTTTGCAGAGAATGTTACCAAAGTATCAACACTATGGAGCATCCAGGAGAAATGTACAAAACGTATTCCATTCCTCATGTTCAATAACGAATAAATATAAGATACAAACTGAAGCATCTGTTTTATAATATAGCGTGCACTTAATAGCATGCCAGCGAAACTTTACAATCGTAATTACTATGCTCTCTTATTAGAACGTAACACTGATTGGCTTTATACAGTTTGGAAGGACCGAGTGCGTAACAGAAAGAAAAGAGCATAACAAGCGGGAACACTGAAGGGTAAAAAACAGAGATTCTTGATCGATTAAACAAATATGACGGAACGAAATACATACACCGTAAAACGGATCTTTTAGATGGTTGCGTTTGATTGATAATAACGGCAGCTAAGGGCAGCGACAAGGTTCTCTGATGGGATATTGTCGCGGTAGTGGTCGTAGTGATCGTCGCGGTGACGGTCGCAGTAATGGTGGTGGTGATGGTAGTGGTGGTTGCAGTGATGGTGGTGGTAGTGACAGTGACGGTGGTCATAGGTGCATTTGTTGCTGTTGTGACATGAATGGATTGGGAATTATTGACGGAATGAGGATGACTCGCTACCGAATGACGACGTCTAGCGGTACCGGCACTGTTGGCATTAGTCGTGGCAATCCCAGTAGTCCAAGCCCCGGTACCAGCAACGGCTGCAAACCACACACCTCTCACTATCGCACAACTGTCTTCGTCTTGCGTGCATCTTGCGCCGGCATATACGACAGATACGGCACGGATAATATACCAATCGTGCTGTTAAGGACATGACCGCCGAGAATCTATCTCTTATGCCTCGCGATGTGTTATTGACAAGTCTGACACATGAAACCTATTTTAAAAATCGTCTCCGAACTAACAACCGTTCTCTCAAGTTTGACTCCCCTCGTGACGATAAATTATGAGATAAGAGAATTGCGATAGAACACATGTATCAGTAACATCAAAGTGAATAAAGCGGTGCCGATTCGGTTTCCTATCTTTCGTCATTATTTTAACAGGATGCATTATGTATAGGTACCTGACGTCAGATAATTTACAGATTCCAGATAACTTACTGACTGCATTAATCATGCTATTTACACCACGAGACTGACACTCAGAAAACAATGCATTACTGATCGACCCAGACTTTCCTGCTTAACACAATTGATCACTGCATTCGTATCAAGGTTTCACTCTTAGCTCTTCGATCTATGTACGCTCAAATTTATTTCATATCGCGGTCGAAATTCATTTTGACGTATTTAATATTAACATTAATTGTAATAATTTTTGCGACGTTACTTTTAACATTAAGGAAATTCTCACTTCTCGTCTCGTTAAACATTTCTTAATGTTTTCCACAAGATAATACACGGTACGATAATATATGACGTTACATGAAGTATGAATGTATATATGACATGGCAGTACTTTTGAAATGTATTCCTTCCTGAAAAGATTGTAGATATAACTTAGATCGATTGCGTACATGTAAATAGCACAATACTGCTAGCACACCTAGCGTATTAAATCTATGAAGTGAAAGAAAAATGCAATGACCAAGTCTTGAGATAAACATCCTATGCTCTCGACGAAATTAAAAACTGAAGAAAAATAAACGACATGTTTTCACACTACTCCGGTGTGTCCTTTATGCCATTCAAAATCCATAGAACGCGAAAGAAGGAAAGCAAATAGCTATTGTGACAGAGAACAGACCCGTGACTGTATTGGTGGAAGAGGTAGTCCGAGATTGACTACACTGTGTGAGAACAGAGGAAGTAGCAGTCTGCTCTTGCAGCGGCTCCACTTGCTCCTTGTGTGTCTTCTGTTCCTCTGTAAACCCCCGTAAACCCACTCGTGTTACTCTAAAGCTGAGCTCTAACGTGTACATACGACGATTCACCTGGTTTTCTTAAGTTACGCATACATATTATTTAATGTGCGTGTGCAATTGGCGATAACTCTGTGTAAAGGAACGGTGTATTAGACAAAGTTTTCAAGTCCGGATTTAAGAGGAATTCGTAATAAGGATGATCTTAAGTACACAAATGATACGTGTATCCAAGCAAACGAGACGCAGCTTCCACGACGAGCTACTCTGATCAAAGACACATGATAAACCGGTGTGTCCCAAGTTACATATACGTGAAATATCACATTTCAATAAGTAACAAAACACTCTGGAAAAAAAACCGATAACTCACATCCTAGTTTAAATCACAATGGATAAACGATATGTACAGGCGGCGGATCCGCGGAGGTTGCAGCTTACCCAGAGGCGAAAAGCCATGAAGCTTTTGACCCGTGTGCCGTCTTTGGAGAACGGATATAGGTTTGCTGGCTTCGTTGGCGGAGGAGCTGCGCGTTCTCTGCCGAGGCCCCACCTCGTCCTTGTTACTCTTCGAATTCCTCATCGCGGTCGTTATCACATCGTACATGTTGAGCGCGATGTTGTTGTCCTCGACCGCCATCCAAAATTCGCCGTCCCCCGTCACGGCGGACCGGCCGACTTCTATGTAGAATATATCGTTCGCGAATCCACATCGTCTAATGTAATTTAGCTGCAAGAGAGACGAGGATATAATTTGCATATTACATCGATGCTAAATTATAGCGAATTCGGCAGCTTGTACTAGTGCGCACACCAAAGGCTTGTTCAGAGTCTACTCTTATACTCGTGATCGTCTCACGTACGTGTCCAAAAACTATTTGGCCAAAAAAGTGAGCCGTACACGGAGAGAATTTTCTTTTGAAATTTATCCTGAAAATCATGCAATCGTGGGACAACACATTTCAGAAAATTTTATGAAATTTTTTAAAATTCTACCATACGTTTTATCAGTAATTCATGTCGTCCCACAATTACGATTTTCAGGGTAGATTTGAAGAGAAAATTCTCCGTACGAATGCGTCACTTTACTGGCTAGGAAGTGTTTTGAAGAATATTTCGGACGATCCTTAAATATATGGGAATCGACTGTAAACAAACCTTAGTGCGCACTAGTGCAAGCTGCCGAGTGCTCTTAGATGCCAAGTTTTATCGATCCCCAATACGAGAAATACATTTTTAACAACGCGCGTTACGAAGGCCCACAATTTTGCGAGGCTCCACCGCGAGCATTTCAAACGGGCAGCGCTGCAACACGTCGTCGTGCGCAATTGTTTTTATGCGCGGCGTCGCTTAGTCTAAACAAAATCTTTTATCCGCTGTATTATCCGCGTTGAAAACTGATCCGTCTAAATACACCTCGGACCACCCCGACTAAAACTACACACTGCGGACTGTCGCGGTCTTTCATTGGGCTTGTTTTCTGTTGCTACACTGATGAACTAGTGCAATCAATTAGAGTAAGACAAGCATATTTTTTCTCATTCTAGCTTACTGCACTGGTTCACCAGTACAGCAACAGAAAACAAACCTCTTGTTATTAGGTGTACAAATGAATAATCCAAACTTTTTTAAGCGACTAAGAAAATAACTTTCAAATAATCTAATTTTTCCGCTCTTTTAAGATTATGTAGCGTTGACATATAGCTATTAAAAATTATATTTAGTATGGCGGAAGGCTTAACCAGAAAAATTATTCAGTTTAGTAAAATCAAAAATGGCAACGGACATATGTCTTTCTCTTCTCAACAAGCAGCGTAGAAAGTCTTTCTTGTGGAAAATTGTTACGGGCGATGAGAAGTGAACACTCTATGACAATCCAAAACGCAGAAAATCATGGGTAAATCCCGGCGAACTCTCAACATCGGTCGCAAAGCCCAATCGCTTCGGAAAGAAAGTTCTACTCTGCATTTGGTGGGATACCAAGGGCGTGATTTATTATGAGCTATTAGAACCGAATGAAACAATTACTGTGAACCGCTACCAAGACAAATTAATCCGTTCGAGGCAAGGATCAGAACGAAAACGCCCGTATACTGGCGAAGGGGAACGTTCTGTGAAATTGTTGCATGATAACGCTAGGCCACACATTGCTTCTACGACAAAAGACATAATAATGAGTCTTGGCTGGGACGTCTTGCAGCACCCGGTGTATTCACCAGACATCGCTCCTACCGGTTACCACTTGCTCCGGTCGATGCAACATGCCTTGTCCGACACGCGCTCCAACCAGATGAGATCCGAAAGTGGCTCGACGACGACTTTATCGTATCCAAAGACACATTTTTTCAGAGATGGAATTCATCAATTACCTAACAGATGGCCTCAAAGTTATAGAAAGCAACGGCGAATACTTTGATTGGCAAATTTGTTTTACTTTCTCTTCAAATAAATCTTAAATGTAGCTGAAAAATTTGGATTATTCACTTGTACACCTAATAAAAGCAGAACTCGTACATAAGAGTATACGCCAGTTTACCGTGCAACTAAGTTGCACATCTTGTGTAAATGTACTTGACGCGAACTTACAGAAATCTCGATGGAATCGGAGTTATCCTGCGCCCCGATCTTCACTAAACTTAAAGTTTGATCGGTGAGGCATAATCTGTAGGGTCCGTGAATGTTTTTCCGTGCCCCCAGACCTCGTTTTTGCATTGTAACTTGCCACACGTGTTCTGAAAAACATAAAGAGATGTAAAACGTTAAAGCTTACACGTGCAGGAATAATTTATGGATCTGATATTTAATTAATGACTTAATTAACGAACTATACTCGATTTCAATAAAGAGCCGCGTTGTGTATACAATATTCAAATTGATACGCAAGGAAAACTTGGAGTATCTATTGCGCGTTTATTTGCCGCGAATTATCATAGTGATAAGCATCTGTTTATGTAATGCAAACAAATATTCAATAGCGCTGCTATACGTATATCAAACTTTGCGTTAAATATGTTTACGATTTTAATGCATCGCAGTGAATAACGTTCGAAAGTATGTACAAAATAATAACGTGAATGCTGAAACAGTTCATACGCGTCAAAAGAGAATTGCGCTAATAATCAAGACAACGGATATATATATTTTTTTTTACATTAGAATATAGATACTAGTGACGCGCAATTTGGAACAAAGACGGTTTGTATTTATCGGACATCGCTCTTGTTTTCTTTGTTTCCGCGGGGAGCACGAGAGCACAAACAATTGCCAACGTTATTTTTATTCCAAGGCTGTTGTTAACCCGCTCGCGAAACGTGGAAGTCACAAAACAGACTGCAGCGGGACAGTGTCTTTCGCGCTGCTCTCGCGTCCATCCTTCGGTTTCGCGTGAATTTAGATTTCTCAAGAACGTGTACAAAAAGCCAGCGCCACACTATGCGCGCTTAAAAAATGCGCGATTCGCAGAAATTCGTTGGGCATTCGTTGTCACCGAGGGGGAGACCGCTGACCAAAATCATGCACACCAATGCCCACGAATGCCCAGTGGGCATTACTTTATCTTATTTATCTTGTTTTATCTTATTTTATCGTCATAATGCTACGGCAAGGCCTAATGCCCAAAAAATGCCCAGTAATGCCGCAAATCTGTACACCACAATCCCCTCAGCGGTTTCCCCCTCGGTTGTCACTTACTGCGTTATTCGTGATTCGCAGTTTGTCACTCGTAATTTGTCATTTGTCGTTTCGTTCGTGTTGACTTCGACAACTTTTACGGTCTATCCGGACAAACTTGCATAGCGCATAAACGTAAGGAATCTGATTGGGCCATAAGTGCACGCATAAGGAAATAAACCAGTCAATTTCTTTATGCCTATGCACTTATGCAAGTTTGTCTGGGTAGACCCAAAGACCCATATACGCGTAAAGAAATTGATTGGTCCATTTCCTTATGCGTGCATTTATGACCCAATCAGCTTCTTTGTGCACACGTTCATGCGCTACGCAAGTTTATCTGGATAGACCCCTTTACCTTTGCCGGTTATTATTACAGGACTCGTATCATTAAAAAAAACCGCTCGGCTATCGAATCACTGCGGATGGCGAATTGCACGGCAAATCGGCGAATTTTTCCTCCACACTATTCGCGAGTATACGAATCACGAATCGCGCATAGTGTGGCACTTGACGTCGGTACCATAGTCTAACTAGTAGGTTCACTTTCTGTCGGTCCCTTTGATCTTTGCGGTCCCGATCACGTGGTATTCCGCCACACGACGTTATACTCGTCGAAGCCACACCACCACACATACAACCTTTCTCTCATCGGTCTGCCCAGAGCAATGTCGGATGCGCAGAAGGGATCGACGCAAAACTGAACAAATGACGGAGTGGACCTGCTAGTTATATTATGGACAAGTTGTATGCGTGGTAGTGTGAAATCCGAGGGGTAAACCGCTGAGGGTGTACAAATTTGCGGCATTACTGGGCATTACCAGGCATTTTTGGGGCGTTAGGCCTTGCTGGCGCAATATACAGATATAATAAGATAAAATAAGATAATAAGATAATAATTACCCTGGCCGAGGTGATATTTTTTCGCAATAAACTTAGAATAGAATATTTAGACACTGCTACGGCAGAGCCCTGTTACGGCTCTGAGTCCTTCAAATTCTTTGAAATTTGTGTTTAACACATATGAGCCATACTAATTTAATAAGATAAAGTAATGCCCACTAGGCATTAGTGGGCATTGGTGTACAAGATTTTGGTCAGCGGTTTCCACACACAAAGTGTAGTGTAGCCACACACACACACACACACACACACCGCTGGATTTCAGACCAAAGCAATGGCAAAATACCACGTGATCGGGACCGAAAAGATCAAAGGGCAGCGAGTCGACCTACTAGTTGAACTATGTTGGTACTGTAAAAAAATCTCGCGTGTTGATCGAGTAAAAAGGCGGGTGGGAAATGAAACGTGAAAGTCTTGGAGAAGATTTTCGACAAGTCGTCGATTCATTCTATATCGGAGACGTAAACAAACGCGTACCCGCGGCCGAGATTTCGTTGCAGGTCGCTACACTGGTCGATATAAGCGGAATAATGTTCGTCACCGTGAAAAGAATGGACTACCATTCGCGGAAAACGAGGCAAGATTCATATACCCCCCGGACGCAAGTGCGTAGAAAAGGCCCCAAGCTATTCGGCATCCACGTACAATATTTAAATCAGCGCTCTACATATTTATACGTGTACGAAGGAAGTTATTAACATACTCTTGAATGATTTAACAGTGTAATCTGCGTTTGTTGTTCGCGCGTTATTCTACGAAAGTTGCGAGTTCGTCTGATTACAAAAGAATATCCAAATTGGTAGAGTCTTTTGGTCAGCTTAAACGTTTACGCGCTTCCACAGCTCATCTAATTATTAATTAAAAAACAATAGATTAATTTAGAAGCTTACTTTTGAAAGCAAGAAAGATTGTTAACAGCGAAGAAGTGATTGGAGATCAATTAAATAAGTTAAATAAGTGTTTTTCTGAATGTGTTCGCGTTTTCCGGAAAAATTCTTTTCTCCTATGTTTATATTTAAATTGTCTAATACCAAAAATTTAAAAACACTGCTCTCATCGCAAGCGTCTCCGTGCACCGATTGCTTTTTCATTTGAAACACCGTTTAGATATTTCTTTCGAAAAGTTAGACTTGATCTCGCAAATTGGAAAAGTAATCGGAAAAATCAGAAAGTTACATTTAACTATTCATTACCGCGTACGTTTACAGGAGAATCTCGTTGCGTTTCAATTCATGGGAAAATCCAAAAACCGAGAATCACAAAAATACACGTCAATGTCCATCAACACCGAAACACTTTTCTCTCTTCCAAAGAATTTCGGAATGCATAAAATTGTCGCGAATTAGTTCCTCATCGATCCACAGTGTCAATGCGGTCCAATAATTTCGGATTTTTCATTTCGGAATTTAAAAATAGAAGAAAATCTGTCTCGTGTATACAAACACGCGCAGTGAGGTATCCCTGGGGAAAAAAATGGCGCCCCTATGCCACGCTGAATTCGCTAGTGTCTATCTCCACCGACGTAAATGAACCCTCGTTCCCTTTTCATCCTCCGGTTGTACGAATTTGACAAAGTAAGACGAAACCGAGAGACCAAAGCTAAAATCCACTGGCAGAAACGGACGAGCGCGTTACGCTCTGGAAATGCGTATCAAGGTCGCGGATGGGTCCGCGGGCCGCGAACGTCTTGGATTTCGCGCGTGTCGACCGATCAATTGCCCTGCGACGTTCCGATCGACGTTCGGCCGGCAAGGCGCTCGGAGTCCGGAGCGCCGCGCTCGCGCCGTCCGGGGGAAGCGGGAAGCGGAAAACGAAAGGCGTCCGGGAGGCAATTTACCGAATGTAGGCCGCGGCTGCTCCCCGTCGGGCACGTCCCCGCTCTGCAGCCTCAGCATCGCCTTGAGCCACTCGTCCAGCTCCTTCTCGCTGTCGAGGATCAGGCAGAAGCACTCGTCCTTGGTGTAGAGCGCGATCACGTGCTTGTGCTTGGTGTCGCCGCGCTTGTTGATGTTGAAGCAGCTGTGCAGCAGTATGCTGCGCTTCGGCGGCTGCCTGTTCTCGAATTTCTTCTTGCTGTCGTAATACTCGAGGCAGGCGAAGCAGCCGGGCCCCTCGCCGCGCAGCACGAAGTACTTCTTCTTCATCGTCTTGAGCTTCTTGAGGTGGCCGCAGCGGATCACGGGCCCGCCCGAGGGCGACGCCGGGCCCCTGCCCGAGGACATCGTCGGGATGACGGCCGAGACGATCGCCGCCGTGGTCGTCGTTGACGTCGTAATCGCCGTTGTCGCGGACCACGCGCGAATCCCCCCCCCTCGAGTACGTGCAAGCGTCGGGCCCTGCGCGTTCTCCGTATCATTCACATGGTATCCCGGCTATTATCGTCCCCGCTCGCCTCCCGCTGCCCGTACCTTTCTCCTCGAGCATGCGAGTCGGCGGCGCGCGCGCCCTTTCCGACGACTCGCGGCCCCGGGGGAGAGCGGCGCGTCGTCTCACACGTGCGCCTCCGTCTCCTCAGCGAGGGGCCGCGTCACGCACAACAGCGCGGAAGTTCATTGTGGCTGGGAGCGACGAGGATTCCCACACTCGCGCCGAACGTCCTCTTCTATCTCGCTCTCTGTAAGCAGAGACGGTTATCCCTAGTTTTCTCTCTCTCTCTCTCTCTCTCTTTCGCTGTCGCGCGCGCTACTCCAGGCCCGATCAACGTCGCCGCTCGGTCGCCACGGCGGAGCGCGGTCCGCGCACTTTCGCGGACGTAAACAAGAACGCGTCGGCGAGCCGTCGCCTCTCTAGCGCGAGAATCCGACACGGCCACGACGTCGCCGTCGGCTCCCGTCGCGCGCGCGTTGACACTCGCGGCGGAAACGACACCGGGGAGCGGCCGGGCGAGCGCGTAAATATACACACGGCGTCGCACGCGCGAGGAGCAACAGCACCGGGTGCATGTGCGTCTCGCTCGCGAGAGCGCGGCCGAGGTCCGAGGGCGTGCTGCGCCGCGCCGCGTCGCGTCGCGTCCGCCTCCCTCTCTTCCCGTCGCGGCGGCAGTCGCGGACGTCCACCTCCTTCGTTAGGTTAGGAGGAACGACAACAATAACAATGGCGAGCCACGGCCAGCACGAGACGCGAACGGCGGCGGCGACGGCGGCGACGGCACACACAACGGTCACAATCTCACAATCACCCTCGACCCCTCCCGCCCCGTTCTTCCTCCGCGGCGTCGAAACCAAGTAGGGGAGATCCCGCGATCACGCCGAACGCGCCCGATGACTCCGAGATGTCGCGACGGCACTCTCTCACTCTCGCTTCGCTCCCTCCTGCGCTCCTGCCCCGTCTCTTTCCCTTTCTTACCGTCCCTCTTCCTCTCGCTCGCTCGCTCTCTCTCTCTCTCTCTCTCTTTCTGCGTCTCGGCACGCCTCGAATCCACCTGTCACGCGGTTTCGTCTAATTTCGCCCGCCACCGATCTCGGGCGCTCCAACGGCTCGGACGTGCCGCCGCCGCTCGCGCATTCCTCGCGCGAGCGATTCGCGCGCGTCCGCGATCGCACGGGGGGGAGAGAAAGAGAGAAAGAGAGACGGACACAGAGGGAGACGGCGCGAACGCGCCACGAGGTGCGGCCGAGTCGTCCGCGAGCTCTACGAGAGGAGCCCACCTTCTGCACCTGCTCGCCCCGCCGAATAGCACAATTTACTGCGTGGTCCACGGCGGTGACGTGTATACACGCGGACGCGCGCGCGCGCGCGACGAAACCGAGCACAGACAGTCGCGCACACACATGTGCGCGCACGCACGCGCAGAGAGCGACAGAGATGGACGAGGGGATCGGACGCACGCACCACGCACGCACGCACGCACGCACAGACGGACGGACGGTCGGCCAGCCAGACGGAGAGCGCGATACGCGGGCAATAACGCGCGCGGCACGCTGGACACGCACACGATTCACGACGACGCAGGGAGCGCGAGGGAGAAAGGCGCGCGAGAGGGACGCGGCGACGGAGGGCAGGGAGAGGGACACTCGCGTGCTCTCTCTCTCTCTCTCGTGGAAAACGTGTTGCGGCGCGGCGAGGAAACGCAACCGACCGACGTACGTACGGATAGACAGACGGGTGGCGGCGACGGCGGCGGGCACGCAGGTGGGCGGGCGGCTGGCCGAAATTCGCCCCTTATCGCCGGCAGCGGCCGTCGCGCGGCTCCTCTCGATAAATAGGCTACTGCCAAGGGCAACGCGATTTTTTTTCATGCGCAATAGCGCGTCGGCCGACGTCAAAACAACCGTGTGGCGGCGGCATTCCAGGTCGATGCGGGGGAAACGCGCCGCGGTTCCTTTTCCTCTCTCCCCTCCCTTGCCGCCGCCTCCTCCTCCTCCTCTCCCCCGCCCCGCGCCCCGCGGCTCCGTCGCGCGCGCGGAGAGACAGACTTCCACTCTCTTCGCGCTTCTTCCCCGCAGCTGCTCTCCCTCGTGCGCGCTCCTCTTCCGCTCCGTCCCTCCTCCCGCGCCACGTAGAGGAGAGGGAAACGACACCCGGGGGACGCACCCGATTAACGACGCACTTTATCGCCGCGCCACGAAAATACGCGGCGGCGGATCACGCTCGCCCGCCGTGGGCGCTCGGCGACGACGGCGACGAGAGAGAACTCCGGGGCCTCCTTCCCGGCTAGGCCTTCCTCGACCACCTCGGGCCGTCGTTAGGGGCGCGCGCTGGACCCTCGTCCCGTACTTACCAGGGCACTCGGGACGACGCACACCGACGGCTCGCGCGTCGTCGCACTCGCGCGACCGTGATTGCGAGCGACGCGAACGTCGCCGACCGACGTCGTCGTCGCTGACCGTCGCTCGTCGCACTCGCTCGACGACGGTCAACCGCGACGCGACGCAACGCAACGCAACGCGGGACGCGACTCTCCGCTCCGATTCCTTTCCGACGCGCGTCAAGTCCGCGGGATCGCCGGGTACGTGGCCGCCGGATGTATTCCAGCGAGAGGCGACGGGACCCTCTCTCACTCTCTCTCTCTCTCTCTTTCTCTCGCCACGACACGCACAACACACACAGACGCACGCACACACTCGCGCGCGCGAGAGACACCTCTCTTCCTCTCTCTATCTCTCCTCCTTTCTTTCTCTCGCCGTCTCTCGCGGGCCGCGCGCGGGTTCACGCCTAGCCAACCGAACAGACGATCGTGTCTATCTTGTAAAGGTCATGTGTACGCCGCGCCGAGCTCCGCAGTTGTAAACAAGATGTACGCAGGCGCCGACTGCGCGCGCGCACGCTCGAGCGCGAATGGCGGCGGCTCCGATATACGCGCTCCACGAGATTGTAAATACGAGCCGGCGCGCGCCAGTCCCGCGTGCGTGTGTGTGTACGTGCGGTGCGTCGTGTTTATTACGTACACACACGCACGCGCGTGCGCGCGCGCGGCGACGGCGTGGCGCAGTGGCGTAACTACCGTGTCAACGGACGGACGGAGGCGCCGCAATGCGGAAGAACCTTGTGGGCTTCCCCGATCTCCAGGAGGCGAGTCGCGCGCGCGCAAACCTCCTCCCCGAGGAACAAGTGACGCGCCGAGGGTCGCGACGCGACGCCTCGCGTCCTGGAGCGCGCGGGGTGGCGCGGCGCCCTCGATTCTACGAGGAGGGACGCGCTACGACACGAGCGGAAAGATTGTCGTAATAGTTTACGATTCTGTCGCAAGACCGAGGCCCGGTCTACGAATTGCCGGTCGTTAGAAGTCGGAACTGTACGCCCAGGGCCTAAATTCCGTACACGATTACCGACGACCATCGATACGTTAACGACGTTTGCGCAGCTTTTTCTACATGATAGAAAAGCTGCGCAAACGTCGTTAACGTATCGATGGTCGTCGGTAATCGTGTACGGAATTTAGGCCCAGGGTTGGAAAAGTTACTTTATAAAAGTATCTAGTTGCAGTTACCGTTTTTTTTTTTCGCTAAACAT